GTATACCTTGAAAGTAAAATATTAGTAAAACCGCGGTAAAAGCCCTAAAACCTTAAATGAAGCCCGAAACAAACCCGAAATAAACCCTAAACAAACCCAAAGCAAACCCTAAACAAACCCTAAAGAAGCCCTAAAGAGTTGGTCACATGATAAACCTTTGGGCGGCACCCCTGGCCTGGTGGTATATGCAATATGTTATCGCCGGAAGTTTAGAAGGCAAACTTCCGACAATATGGACAGATGAAGCAGAGGTGGGAAGAGTCAGAGAAGAGAAAAGGAACAAGAGTGTGGCCCCGGAGGCTCACAAAGTAGACTCGCTAAAACGGCGGGTGCGGAGATATCTGGTCAGATGCGGGATCAAAAATTGCACGCCGGTGGCGCGAAGCAGGTTTTAAATTCAATATTTGCATAACACCTCGGTCTTGAGAGTCGAAAAAGTGCACGCCGTTGTGGCGCGAAGATGCGCGAAGCACATTTCCAAGTCAAAATAAATCAACACGATTAGATAAAACACCAAATGTTCAGAGCACTTTTGGACGTTCAAGAGTTATTTTGTGTGGCAGGCGCCATGGATTAAAAACGATGGCAGGCGTGGGCCGTTTGAAGAGGATCTGCAAAGATGCATTTCGCGTGGCAGGCGCAGTACAAGAGACATATTGAGTCAGACATGTTAGGAGGTCAGGGCACTGATTTCCTGAGAGGGGTTGCATTTTGGAGCATCAGATCTTCAGGTTTGCTATGGTGATTTTGCGTGACAGGTGCAGCACTTCGTATGACCTGGCTTCACTTTTTCGTGGCAGGCGCAGTACTTTAGACAGATGGAGTGGAACAATCGCAAAACGCACTCGTTCGAGGCCGTCAGTTCTGAAGGACGTTTCGCAGAATTGCTTCGTTTTGGAGTTGCGCACTTCCATGTTTCAGGAAGTCTCAAAGACTTGCTTCGTTTCAGATAGATAGATAGATAGATAGGTAGGTAAATAGATAGATAGATAAACAGGTAGACAGACAGATAGATAGAGAGACAGGTAGCTAGATAGATAGATAGATAGGGAGGTAGATAGATAAACAGCTAGATAGATAGATACATACATAGACGCACAGACACATAGATGCATAGATACATAGATACATAGATAGCCCAGTCAGATAGATAGAGAATGGATAAATACGTAGACAGATACATGGGCAGAAAGATAGATAGTCAGATAGGTTGATAGATAGATAGCTAGATAGTTAGAAAGATAGTGAGATAGTCAGACAGATAGATATAGATATATAGACAGATAGAAAGATAGACATAGATATATTATATTTATATATAGGTACATAGGTACATAGGTAGGTAGGCAGGCAGGTAGGCAGGTAGGTAGGCAGGTAGGTAGAGAGAGAGAGAGAGAGAGAAAAAAAAAAGACAGTTCATTAGTACTTTCATCCGTCCATGAATCACAACAACTCACCTCTTCTATAGTTTCCTTTCTTTGAAATTTCCGCCACTGCCTTGTGCGGTACTACTGGTTTATATTTTTATATTTATGCATATTTAATATTATCTGAAATATATCTATATATATAATATTATTATACACATGTGCGTTTATATTTGCTCACTTACTGGCGTCGGATGCCAAAATGTCGCCTGAAGATGACGAACAAGTTCCTGCAAATCATTCCAGCATCTTCTGAAAGTGGGGTCCGGCAAAGTTCGTTCCACCTTGCCCGATGGTAGTTGCATGATGTTTTGCATAGTTGTGTGTTGATATTGAACCAGCCAAAGAAGAGAGCATCCTGGCCTCCGCAGGGTTCATCAGTTTCAAAACCTACTAATTGTGGATCACGTGTTCGCTGACTTTGACATGTTTTGAAATGATTGCAAATCAGTCAAAGGCAGCACATGAAAGTCCGCCACGTACAGATGGCAAAGCTGGTGGCTCATTTTTTTCCTGCGTTGACCTGATACTAGCTAACCTTGTTAAATGTTTGGTGTTCGAGAGATTCACAACAATTTGCATCAAATTGCCTGATCTGGTGCCAAGGCAAACAGGACGAAAACCAAATGATGGAGGATGAATTAGTGGTAGTGCGGACTCGGCCAGCATCGGGCATCGGAAGATAGGTGTCACGTGGTGTCACTGCCTGAGCCTTGGAAAAGAACAGTCCGGCTGAAAATTGTGAAGACGTTTGATATGACATGTGAAGACAGTTTGGTGGTTGGCACACACAGAGTCAAACATGAATCGATGGGGTGTTTGGGAAACATCAGAACAATATGTGACAGCATGCAAAGCAAATGTAAATGTTCCTGCCAGGACACGAATGTAAGCACATAGACATACAGACAGAGAGAGAAAAAGAGATTACTGTAAGGGATGTGCGCGTTCACGCATACATGCAAGAGCCTACTAATGGCATCATGATCATCGTGCCCGTCCAGAATTCAAGCAAAAAGTTTAGTGCAACAAGTCTAGGAGCGGAGCCTAAAAACCAAACTGACAATTGAATACACTACACTAATCTAAACTGTACTGTGCTATATTATAATGTAATATATATATATATATCTTATTTGTTATTCCAAGGATTTTGCGAGCACGCCCATGGTTTCTTTGATCCACCTCGATGACCAAAAACTTCCGGACACAGCTGACAAGTGGAAATTCAACCATATTTGTCTGAACTTTAGATGTTCAAAGGTTGGTTGTGAAGATCCCCTCTGCGGTTTGACACATTTGAATTTCTTTCAACACTTGCATTGCATGATTGATGGCCATCGGCGGTTCTCCTGGCCATTCTGGTCGCACTGAGCATTCTGTAGCATGTCCACAGCTGCCGCCTGCACCGCCAGTGCCATCAGTGGTGGCACTGACGCTCCCACCAAATCCTGCCTTTCCGCAACCGGAGTCACAAAATCTGAGGACCTCCGAAGCTGCTGTCAGCTGGGCGAATACGTGGAATTCTAGAGATTTGGGCCTGCGCTCAGCAAATTTTGCTTTCAAGATGTATGCAGGGCATTTCACAGGTAGGTAGGGACAATGTTGCTAGTTAGTTGTGCCAAAATTTGCCACGGCAGGATCATCCTCCAATCCATTCGCGGACAAGCCACCGTGCTGGAGGTCCAGCGGTGGGGATGTGCTTCACTAAGAGACCTGGCACAAGCAAGCTCAGAAGATCGTTCTTGGCTCGGTCGCCTTGGGGGGATTGAGCTGGTGCTCAATGCCATGCGGACCTTCGAAGCGGACACGGAGTTGCAGCAGTCTGCCTGCGGCGCATTAGCCACTCTGAGCTATGAGAACCAGGTCAACACTAAGGCTGTGTTACAACATGGCGGTACCGAGTTGTTGTTGCGCGCTATGCATGGCCACAGTAGCAGTCCCTCTGTGCAAGGCTTGGCTTGTTACGTTTTGAGGATACTGGCATTCTTGGAGGAAGGTCGGCATCACATGGTCCAGCTCGGTGCCATTGAAACCATTCTCATGGCACTACGGAATCACATTGGCGATGTGGACGTCCAAGGCTCCGGTTGTGGAGTTCTTGGTCGGTTGACTGCATGTTCTTCAGAGGATTTGGCGAAAGTAGCCTCAGGTGATGGACTTGGCGTTGCTCTAGGTGCACTTTCTGCCCATCCACGTGATGCTCAAGTGCAGGCGTGTGCTTCAGCACTTGTTGGAAACTTGGTCCTGGCTGGACCACAGTCAGTGCAAGAAATCGCTCAAAGCAGAGCAGCAGACTTAGTGGTTCAGGCTTCAAAGCACGAGTCTTTAGAGGCTCAAAGCTGTGCTGTCAATGCACTAAACAACATGTGCCTCAGAAGCGAACATTGTATTGCTCAAGCTGCAGTCTCGGGAGCTTATGCTTCTTTGGCAGCCACCTTTCAACCCACAGACGAGAACATCCAATTGCTGACAATTACAGTCCTTTATTTGCTGACAACAACAGATCAAGGTGATGTTGGGGATTTTGTGCAGCTGCAAGGCCTGAGCCATTTGATTCCCACCATGATGCGCTTCATGTCTTCTTTGAAGGTCCAGGAGCAGATTTCTTCGATCTTGCAGAGTCGCAGCCTCAGACCATTTTGATTCAAAATGTGTACCTTGCATTACCTTGCCATACCTTGCCATTTGCAGTTGCAAGATGTTGCAAGTCCTTTCATGTCCTTTCACTTCAGAGCACAGCATCACACCCGAGATCGCGAAAAATCATCCAATTCACTGTAGGAATCGGACATCGTGCGGAGATGTTGGAAGAAATACTTCGACAGGGAGGGCTTGATGGCATTTTCACTGCAATGCAGGGTCCTTAAAGATCTTACAGTAAGGTCAGCTGTGCAGCGTTTCTGATCATTTGCATCATCAACAGCTGGCCCTGTCAGACCTGTGTGTTTGGACGCTGCTGCAGGCATCGCTATCCGCTATCGGCGAGGATTCAGGCAGTGAGAGAAAGGGGGAACTGAAGTGCCCAAGAGATCCCAAGAGTGCAAATGGATGAAAACGATTGAAAACGATGAAAGTAGATGCAGAGGTCCTGAAAGCCAGGCCTGGTGAGATGTATATAATATGATTTAATGATATATTTATATATTATTATATATTATGATATTTATATATATATATATATTATGATTTATAATTATATATATTTAATGATTGTGCCGTGTCGAACATGTTCGGCATCGAATCGCAAAGCTGCGCAGGTGTCTGGATGCTATTTGGCATCACGCTGGGCACGTGCCAGTGAGGGCCTCGGCCCCTCCAGGCAGAAAGGTGTTGTCAACTGTCGGATCTGTTGGATCTGTTGGATCTGTTGGCATGTTTTGCCAAAGGTCTAAAATGGTCTAAACAATTCTAAACATTTCCATCATTTCCGTAAAAATGATCAAAATCTGAGTCTTCTGAAAAAGGGTTGAGGAACTGAGGAAACGTCTTGGATGTTGGATGATGTTGGAGTCTGCACGAGGCCAGGACGGGGCCCAAAGAGTAGCAGAAGGAGGTGGAGTAGAGTTGGTTGCCTGCAACTTATCGAGCTTGAGATAGCTTGACATTCGTTTGACATTCGTTTGACATTCGTTTGATCGGATTGGATTGATACTTTCTTTGACGTGTTTGAGAGCCCTTCCCAGCACCTCGGCCACTTCACTCAGGCGCTTGCCATGCAGAACCACCTTGCTGAGGTGGAGATGGATTCTCTTCTCGTAAGCGTTTCGAAGGGGCAGACACCACTGGGTTTATTCAGTTTTTTTTGCGTAAGTAGTACGGAGTTTAATAAATAGAGATGTATACACCATGATAGACATTGATAGACCATTTTATGTTTTTTTTTACGTTGTTTTATATGCTTTCTATATTTTTCTATGATATTTCCCTGGAAGCTGATCCAGGAGTACAGTTTTAAAGCATTTTTTTCAAGCGGTCTGAACGTTTGCTTGTTAGCCTCAACTGGGCTCCATACAATTATAATCAATTATATACAATTAAGGTAGCCATCTCGGTAAGCCTTGTGCATTCGTACGTTCATTCTGAATTCCTGAACTCCGTGCATCGCATGGAGGGAACAAACATGAACAAACTGTCCAGGTGGATGTCCAGGTTTTTGGATGCATGATGCTCAAAGCCGTGGCTGATCAAGTTGCTGAGAGTGAGAAACTCAGTGCCTCCCAGTCCCGTCAAGATCCACTCACCCCACTTATCCCACTTACTTGATTCTGTAGTTTGATTTTGTATGATTTTGTACTTGATTCTGCCACGATATGATACGTGTTGATACTGTATGCGTCTTCATGTCATATACTCCGATGGTCTTCCATCCGGAGCCTATCACGGCATAGGCGGTATAGGCGTATAGAATCGTATAGATGGCTTTGCTCATCCAGTCTTTTGCGTTTGTCAATTTGTGGCGGATGTGAGCAGCATGAGTATCATGAGTATCTTTTTGCCAATCGAAGTCTTTGCATTGTTTCGAACTGGGCCCATATGGCAAGATCATCATGCAATATAACATGCGCAAAAATTTCCATGCAGCTCCTGCTGTTTTGCTCGGTTGTCTCGCTTGTGCTTCTTGTTGCTTTGTTTGAGCCTCGGTCTCCATGGACTATGTTGCTCTTCCAAGGCCCTCAGGTCATTGCACACTTCGGCGGAGTGGAGGCACTTTAGAGTGTGTGATGTGTGTGTGTGTGTGAAACATCTGAAGAGATGTAAAACTTCTAACTGTTGTCGTCTTAGTGTGTGTGTGTGTGTGCGTGTGCGTGTTTAGCTTTAGTGCTTTGTGTGCGTGCACACAAATGGGGCCACCTTGTGACATTGTGACTTTGCACAGTGCAGTTGATGTGAGTCGGGTGTGAGCTTCGCAAGACTGCACCCTTCCGCTGGCACGGGGCTTATTATAATCTTATATAATCTTTTACAGTTATACAAGGGGAAATGTCCCTTTGACGTACCTGCAATGGTCAACCCTGGTATATATATGAGTTCATTTCAAGTCAACATGGCGTGGGGCTAAACCGGGACCCCCAACTCTGAGTCACCGTAATTAATCTGTTTTTGTTGATGAACTTTGTGACGATACGATGATGGTACTATTTCCTGTTCAAGCACCCACCATGGGTATACCAAGTCTACATCGGGTTTGACAGATTCGTCCAAGGCTTTGACTTAAGTTAGAGACTTAGGCGAATGCGTTTTTTTTTGCTAACCAGTGCTTGTGATACTATACCATCATCATATTTAACAAATATCTTGCTGTTTTTCCATGACGTTGCAACCAAACATATCCCACTGTGATTTCTGTTCTGTTCAAGTTTGTGTGAATTTGTCATATGAATCGATACAAGTATTCTGGATTTCCTTCTGTCTACGTTTGTTCCCCAGGCAGTGCTGCGGAGTTTGCAGCGGCACGCAGAGGACGTCAAACGTCGGTCTAAATAGCGCAAAAGTGCAAACACATTAGATTGCCATACGCCCACCAAGCTGTATCCAGCGATGGTGCCAGAGCAAATAGATGCAAATAGACCATTGCTAGATTTGCCATCTACAACAACAAGTTTTCGCGACCTCCAGGAAGGACAGCTTCAAGAAGTTGGGGTCCGTGCGTTTTGATCTCAGATTTTTTAAAAAGCAGATGACGGGTGTGCAAAAAGGAAAAGGAAACCGAATCGTTTTGTGGACTTTTCACATCTTCGTTCATTGGTCTACTCATGCATTTTGGTTCCCTTCATTATATGACAAAAACTTGTATGATCTCAATTTTGACATGCTTTGGGTACCTCTGAGTCCATGCCTATGCTGACTTCTTCGTCGCTTTCTACAATCATTCATGTTTTGTTTTGAACATATGCACTGTATAAATAACTAGAAATATATTAATGCACAGTAATGCACAAACACATTTACAATTATACATAATATATATCTATATATAGATAGATACACAGGGTCACATAGGTATACCTATATACTCGTATCATACAATGTATGATGTATATTTACATACTTAGGGGGAGAGAGAGAGAGAGAGGAAGAAAAAGAAGAAATATATGTTTTATTCATTCCTGTTGATTTATTATTTGATTATATTTTACTGTAGTTGCCAAGTCCTTTGAAACTGCTTACATCTACGGTTTCATCAAAACGCGCAAAGCAGCACCCTTTTGATGCAGGCCAAGCTGTGTGGATGGGGCCAGCTCACACCTACCCACCCCTTAAATTCCTGAGATGCCTGCAACATCCTGCAACTCATTGCACCTCGATAGAAATGGATAAGGTTGGTCGATAGGTAGCATATGATTAGCATATGGTAGCATACTCTCAGGTACTGATACCATCTGATACCCCTACTGGATCGTACTGATATCATCTGATATCCCTTTTGGCATCGCTTGACTTGGAGACAGCTCCACCAGACTTTCAACTCACCAGGTACAGTAGCACAGTTGCAGTAGCCCACCGTGTATGCCTGTGTGTTTCCAAAGAACACCAAACACAATCAAACTATATCAAACTCACGTACGCGGACGTGCATCAATCCTTGCTCACAGATACAAAGGCATTTCAGAGTCGTCCTAAAACCCACACAACTTTGGACCTTGGATTGCCTTAAAACGGAGGTTTGCACAAGGGTTTCCAAAGGCTTGGTGCAAGGATGTATGTGGCACATGACATGAAAGAACCCAAAAAAGATCAAAAAAGGATAAAAAAAAGGACCGCGCCGTGGCCGCGCACGATTCGCACACGGTCTGCCATGTCTGCCCAAGAGTTGCCCAAGAGCAGTTTTTGGTGAATTATATAATTTTGGGCATGACAAGCCCCATTTATAGATTTTATAGAAGCACACGCTCACACAAGGAAATTGTTGCGTTTTTTTCCCAACAGCAAAACTTTGCTATGGGGTCTTTAGCCCAGATTAGCTCCAGTGCGATCCGGTGCAGCTTCAACACCAGGTTCCGGACAATGTTCCGGAGGTGAGGTTCCGGAAGGTTCCGGTGCCGTGCGGTTCCGGAGGGTTCCCGTGCAGATACCTTGTGAGGTTCCGGAGGGTTCTGGTGCAGATGCTTTGTGAAATTCCAAAGGGTTCCGATGTTTTTTTGGACATAAGGTGGCATAATCCCTTCCCATTTAATACTAAACGCCCCCCCTATTAATAAATATTAATAAACACTTCAGGTACTTTTTATTATTAGGGTGGTATTTTATTATTAGGGAACCCGATTAATAAATCAAAAACATTTAAAAACCTTAATAATAAAAACTAGTTTGTTCGATTTGAAAATCAATTAAATTTCCTTATATAACGCAATTAAAATATTGCCAAAAATTGGTTTTCGAAGCGGACCCTATTAATAAATTTAAAACCTTAATAGTAAAAACTAGTTTGTTCGATTTCACAATCAATTAATTTTCCTTATATAACGCAATCAGAATATTGCCAAAAATTGGTTTTCGAAGCGGGCCCTAATAATAAATTAAAAACCCTAATATAAAAAAATAAAAATTCTCGGACGGACCCTAATAATAAACACCCCGGGGTCAACTAGTTTTTACTATTAGGGGGCAAAACCCACAAATGGTAGCTTTATTTTTTAATTGTTGTCTAAAGGAAATCAATTAAAAGTCAAATTGGCCAACCTGAAATTTTCCAAACTGGGAGATGGACTCACCCTAGTTTTTAGTATTTGGGGACGTTTAGTAATAGGGGAAAGGATTAAGCACTTATTTTTTATGGCATAAGCGCTTAATTCTTATGGCATAAGCACTTTTTGTGGCAAAAACGCAGAAGCTTTCAAGCTGTTGGGGATAGCACCTGAGATTATTTTTCAAATTTGCTACTTTCAAATGTGCTCAGACTTTGCAGCGTTGGACAACAAGACTGGATATGCAGGCGCCAAGTGGCATGATGATTTGACATGTTTGGCTTAATGTGCGGTTTTGCAGATGCACAGTCTGGATGCAAAGATTTTGCAGGAAGAAAGTGGTGGACTATGGTGTGCCACTTAGTTCACCCTGCCATGTGCGGAACAAGATATTAGAATTATTAGAGTTACCGAGTGCAGGGTCGGGAAAAGAATGGAAAGCACTCCATGTGACTGCAGCCATGGTGTGAAGACTTCTGGCTCCAAATTGCACCAATGAATGAATCGATTGACCGATACATGGAATGTAAGAAATCTGGCACGCTCAGGAATTTTAGTTCTGCACCACATCATCCGCGGTCCATGGGCGTATATAAGGTGTTGGTGTGAAATGGTGTGACTTTTCGAGCATGGAGTGCGGAGTCATGCGGAGGGCAGATTTCCATGTACGGAAGTGTGTCGGATGTCCGGGGGAATGCTGGCGCGCCTTCATCCGTTTCCTGTAGCGGCCGTAGCGGTAGCGACGCCACAAGATGTCATGGGGTGCAAGTGCAAATCGGTGCAATATGGGTGCCATCATTGTGCCATCATTGTTTGGATTTGTTTGGCTCATTGCCTTTGGTCATTGAGTTTGTTTACATCGTCTCGGAGCTTTTCATCCTTCAC